AATTTGGAATTTCCCCCCCCCCCCCCGTCCCGTTATTTATAAAGCAGTCCTATTCTGTTCTGACGTCATTAAAGCCAGCACCGCCACAGGTTTTGACTGAGAGAGATGGAGCTCGAAAATTTTTCATCATTGTGGCGGTTTCAGCTTTGACGTCATTTTCTTGTCGTCTTAATTCGCTCGTATTGTTTCCACTAGAATGCAATTGCTTCTCGTTGGGACGATCTTTTGTCTTCCGGGGAGGATCTGCATTACACTTGGGATATGTCTTTTGTCCTCTAGTTACTTTTTTTTTTGTATTTATCTATACACGCGCTATAGGGATATTTTCTTGCGTCGACTAATCTCGTGTCTTTTCGTGCCAGGATTCGGATCTGTACGGTGATGTATATGTGGATATATATATATATGTGTATCGAATGATCCATTAACGGTAAGCTCTTATCAATCTGGTTTTTCTTATTCCGGAACGTGTTCCGGACAATATCCCGGACTATCTTGATTAGTCAGTCAGGCTTGACACTAGTGCTAATTTATCTCTCGGGGAAAATGCTAATGAACCGGATCGGAACGGCGAGCAATCGAGTGTCGGTATACAGGACGCGAGCAGGGACTTTGGTTCTGGGGATTTTAATTGGTATTCGCCAAGATTAAATGGATCGTGCGTCAACGTAATCTCGAGTTTTTTTTTTAAATGAATTTTCCAAAAAACAAATTTTTCAAAATTTGGCAATCGAAAAATGTTTTGGGATTTTGAAAATTTTTCAAAATTATAACAGTCAGTGCAGCATCCGTGACGATCGGGAAAAAAGTCACAGTGAAACGTTAATCGAGCAAATCAGAATTACAAATGATGAGGGTAAAGCCCGGATGTTTTAATTAATTTTTGAGTGAACCAAATGAAATTTGAATAAATCTATTCGTTTTCGGGGACGGCCGCGTGTAGGTGGCAGGGGGGGGGCCGGATTAAATGCCACGTTGATTCCCCTATCAATGCTATTTTCAAATTTAAGTTCAGCAGTCAATAGAGTATTCGTTCGCTGCGTTCAGTTGGCTAGACTGATATCGTCGAATGCGCCTTAGCCGTAATATCCCGTTAAGTTTACGCGGTGAGTATTGGCGGACTGTTATAACGGATTAAAGTGGCTAAAGGGTCCTTTAAGTTCAAAGTTCTCCAGCATCATTCCCTCGGTCAAATTTAATTGGTACCCGGTGATTGGTAGACCTGCTAACAATTCTGACCAATCGAACTTCCTCATGGAACTTTGCAATAGGGAACGTCGTAATAGAATTCTTAGGGAAACTTTGCTATAGGTGGTACCAGATGAATGGGGCCTAGGGACTTTAGTTCTATTGGTCTAGGGGAATACGTTTGAAGTAGCAGAGAACCCGAAAGGCCTATATCACCGGCGGGCATGATTGTTCGCGAGTAATAAGATCTACGAGAATATCACTAGATTTTCTATGGCAGTGCCGTTATCGTGATTTTTGAAAAATTCCCTAGTCACTCTGGCGGAACGATTTTCGAATTGAAATATTGAAATGGCAAAATAGTGCGAAGACGGGATAAGAAAAAAGACGGGTATCTGCCGATACAGGACCTTTCGAATAATTCACAGGTTCTAATAACTTTAGCCACGCGCGTCCGGCGAATCCATAAATTTGCTTCTTGCAATTCCCGTTCCAATCGACCAATCGCGTCGCCCGGTTCGCCGCATGACGTATGGATCGTCGAGCTCTAAACTCCCATAAATCTTGGCGGGAAGTTTGATTCGCTTTCATGTTTTTTATTCTTTCTCCACCCCCCCCCTTTCTCTTATTTTCCTTTCTCTTGGTCGCTTCCATTCTTACTTCTCTTCCTTTTCTTTCTCTCTCTCACCCGCACGACGTCATATTTTTACGTCCACTTTTCCTCCCTCTTTGGCTTCGCTGGCAAATCGACTCTATCGACTTTTCCCACGGTGTCGTCCCGTTACAGGAAAAATAGACTAGTTCGGGAAAGAAAAATTTTGACAGGTACTTCCGGTCTTCCAGACTACATTTGTACTTTAACATCGTTGAGTGTATTTGTTATTTAAAAAAAAAAAAATTATTACACTGCAAGCTACCGTTTACGGGTATTAGGATTATCTCAGGAATGTCTGTCAGGTTTGCTAACGGGGAAAAAAAAAAATCGATGACCG